CAGGCCTGATTCTGATATAGGTGCACACTTAAGAAGCCCTAACCGCCCAGTTAGCTTTCCTATATCAGACTATTAATCTGAATCCACCAATCAAAGTGGCCATTTTCTCCAGGTGAAGAGAGAAGAAGAGAAGAGAGAGATTGGATTTATACCCCACCCTTCACTGCCCGAAGGAGTCTCGAAGTGGCTTACAGTCTCCCCTCCCCTCCTCACAACAGACACACTGTGAGGTAGGTGGGGCTGAGAGAGCTATGAGAGAACTCCTCTTGAGAGTACAGCTCTGAGATAACTTGTGACTGACCCAAGGTCACACCAGCTGCTTCTTCTTCTTCCCCTCCCCAAGGCCCACCCCCCCAAATCTCCAGGTGTTTCCCAACCCAAAACTGGCATCCCTATCAGCCACATATGCCAGAACATCATACATTAGTGGCACTCCTCTTTCTTCGCAGCTAGCTGCAAAATTCAGATTCCTTTTTGGTGGGCTGCATCTTAACTGACAGCCAATTTCTCTTGGCCCCTGCCTCGGAAGGACAGTGCATGGACTAGCCAATAGCAGCCACTGCCGTTACATGAAGCCTCTTCCAGCCGTTAATGGCAATTTCAAAACAAGACATGACAACAATGCAGAAGCATAAAGAGTTCTAACTCTTCTGTTGAAGCGATACCGTAGCCTGCACCCTGCAATACATTTTAGTTTCTGGAAGCTTGAATACAGCATACAAGATTTTGTCAATTAGCTCACCGGCAGGCAGCGCATGAAGTTTGAGCAAATAATACCCTTTTGCTTTCCGCTTTTTCCATCTTCTATCTACTGGGATCAAAAGCGGATTTTGAACTACAAGGCCTTTCCAGCCTCGGCGATGCCATGACAACTTCCTTATTATTCCTCAAAACCATTATTCCATCGCACGCTTCGTAAGGTGAGTTATACAAAGCCTCCTCATTTGGGGTGTCGGGCCCACGGAACCTGTCTTCCTGAAGCCTGACGGAACTTGAGACATGCCACTCGGCGATTTCCCACAAAACAAAGTTTTGATGCCTTCCGGAGCAGCCCAATTACAGCGCAGAAGAAACACTGAGCTGTGCGAGACCAGTGCATGCACAAACCTTGTGTGCCCTTAAAAAACGTGTGAGTCGGAGCGACTTCACTGAAAGCAATGTTCCTGGATTGGTGGCTTCTACACTCAGCCTGACACACATGGCTTGCAAAAGCCATAAACCAGAGGTGTCAAACTCATTTGTCACGAGGGCTGGATCTGACATAAATGTCACTTTGTCAGGCCGGGCAATGCATGTCATAAAATGTAATGACAGGTTTAAGAGAAGAAGAGAAGAGATCGGATTTATACCCCGCCCTTCACTCAGAGTCTCAGAGCAGCTTACAAACCCTTTCCCTCTCCCTCCCCACAACAGACACCCTGCGAGGTCGGTGGGGCTGAGAGAGCTCTGACGGACAACTGCTGCTCAGAGAACAGCTCTGAGAGAACTGTGGCTTGCCCAAGGTCACCCAGCAGCTGCATGTGGAGGAGCGGAGAATCAAACCCGGTTCTCCCAGATTAGAGCCCGCACTCCTCACCACTACACCAAACTGGCTCTCTCACCAAACTTGAAGTCCCTTCCCTCCCCAAACCCTGCCCTCTTCAGGTTCTCCTCCGAAAATCTCCGGGTACTTCACACCCCAGAGCTGGCGACCCCAGCAAGTAGCCTTGTGTCAGCAAACTGTGCCCCCAACATTGGTACATTCAGTTGAAGATATGCGTGTAAATGCAGAGGACTCTGTTCCCAGAAGCGGGAGCCCAAAATAGAAAGAAAAGCAATTGATTCCTAGTAGTGAAAGCAATTGATTTACTGGGGAGCCCACAGAAACCCCAATAAATGTATTTAATCATATGCAAAACAAGGTTTTCCCCAAGAGATACCATAGAAGGGAGAATATCCTATATTTCCATACATACTAGTTGCTTGTGGGCCGGGCAAGATGGGCTGGTTCTGGCCCACGGGCCTTATATTTGACACCCCTGGCTTAAACTAAAAACAGCATAGCTGGACACGTGCATTTTTCAAGAGGCATGAATAGGGTTGTAAACTGCAAGTTGGAAAATTCCTAGAGATTTGGGGGGATGGACCAGGGAGGGACAGTGGAAGAAGAAGAAGAGGAGTAGGAGTAGCAGTTGGTTTTTATACCTTGGAGTGGCTTACAATCACCTTCCCTTTCTCTCCCCACAACAGACACCCTGTGAGGTAGGTGGGGTTGAAAGAGCTCTTTCGAGGACTGGTGGTGAGAGAACAGCTCTGAAATAACTTGTGATTGACCTAAGGTCCCACCAGCAGCTGCATGTGGAAGAGTGGGGAATCAAACCCGGTTCTCCAAATTAGAGTCCGCGCTCCTAACTGGCTGCTACACCAAGCTGACTTCTTTAAGAAGGGTATATGAACGTACACATGTGCGTCTGATTGTTCTGATGGACAATTTATATCTGGAAAAGTTCTGTTAAGATAGAATATGGAGAAGCAGAATAGTTTCCAATTGTCGGACAAGGGTGCATTTAATCTCCCTGTCTGTTCAATCTATATGCAGAACCTATCATTTAGAAGAGCCGGATTATATATAGACGAAGATGGAATGAAAATCAGTAGAAGGAACATTAACCATTTGAGATCTGCAGATGACGCCACCTTACTGGCGGAAAGTGAAGACTTGAAATGACTACTGATGAAGGCTAAAAGCAGAAAGTGCCAAAGTAGGATTACATCTTGAACATCAAGAAGACAAAAGGAATGGCTACTGAGGAATTGCACAACTTTTATACAACTTTAAGGCTGGCAACGAACTGCGGTGGCTCAGAGGTTAAGTCGCTGAACTGCAGGCTGTGGAAGGTCAGTAGTTCAGCAGTTCGAGACCCGAGTGTGCCGCATGACGGAGTGAGCTCCCATCTCTGGCCCCAGCTCCTGCCAACCTAGCAGTTCGAAAGCAAGAAACTGCAAGTAGATAAATAGGTACCACCAGGGGTCATTTCCTGCAGGAGCGCACAGGAGCGGAGCTCCGGCAGTAAGGAGCCCAGGGGGTGGGCACATGTGACAAGCCCCACCCCCTGCTCCCAGCAGCCCTCAGTCAGAGCAAGAAGCAGCCAGGTAAGTTGCAGAGCTCCCCCCAGCCCCCTGGTCCAAAACAGTCCAGTGGCATCTTTAAACCAACTTTTATTCAGGTACAAGCTCTCCCTCCTCTGTGAGGACAGATCTGTACATCCCCCCCCCCATAAATAGCAATCCAAAACAGTCCAGTGGAGTCTGAGCGGTGGGTGTTGCCTTCCGACACACTTCTGGTGATGTCAGGGGGTGTGGCATATGCAAATGAGTTATGCTAATGAGTTATGCTAATGAGCTCCTGCACCTTTTTTTCTACTAAATGACCCCTGGGTACCACTTTGGTGGGAAGGTAACAGTGTTCCATGAGCCTCGGCGTTTAGTCATGCCGGCCACATGACCACAGAAACATCGTTGGACAGCGTTGGCTCTTCGGCTTGGAAATAGAGATTTCCTGCTGCTACTGTAGAACAGAGCTCATATTTTCTGAGTATTAATCACACCAGCCAGCCGGCTCTCCTTCTTCTGCGGCCGAGGTGAATGCGTACGGCCAGCAGGGAAGGGCAGGAGCAGGGGGAGTTGTTGTGGGGCGTGGGCCACAAGTGAGGGGGCATGGCCCCTAAACGCTCCACTGTGGCTACAGGCTTGCCCAAGAAGGACCTGCAGGTCTTCCCCCATATAGTCTGCCTCTTAATCCAATCACTGCCTTGGACAAGCTAGGCAATCTAGCTAATGACAGGCCCGGCCCTGTGCAGTTTCGGTCTTGCTTTGCGTCGACCGCATCAGCACATTATGACATTGATTTTTCCAATGCTGGACCGGCGCCCGACGATTGCTGCAGAGATCGCATTTCTTACGTCTGGCTCAGAGAGGGGCGTGTCGATAAAAACCAACAGCTCTGAGAAGGGTGAGAATTGTTATACCGCAGCATGAGTGCCAACGCGCATAAGCAACTCGATAGTCTTTACAATAACCCTGTAAGGTAGGCCATGCTCCCTCTAAGCTGTGGAGTCTTGTGAGCAAAAATTCTACTTTGTGAGCTACTGGCACTGAAGCTGTGAGCAGGTGATTTGGCTGTGGCATAAATTGGGTTGCTCTGGAGCCCTCCTTCTGGAGCAAAGGCAAAAAAGTGCGAGCTGGAGACTAAACTACTGTGAACTAGCTCACACTAACTCAGCTTAGAGGGAACGCTGAAGGTAGGCAACAATTGCCATTGCCAAACCAGGGGTTTGCTGAGGAGGAGAAAACAGTGGCTATCCCATCTTGTGAATTCATAGCCAAGACGAGGTATAAACCTGGTCCTTTTGGTTCAGACTTCAGTCTCGGCTTCCACCAAGTTTCAGATCTGGTAAGACCAGGGGTCGTTTCATAGAAAAAAGAGGTGCAGGAGCTCATTAGCATAGCGTATTTGCATATGCCACACCCCCTGACATCACCGGAAGTGTGTCAGAAGGCAACACCCACCGCTCAGGCTCCACTGGACTGTTTGGGATTGCTAGCTATTGGGGGGGGGGACGTGCAGATCTGTTTGGGGAGAAGAAGGCATCATATTGGTGCACTGTGAGGGTTCCCGTGCTCACGAGATCTCTTTGAACACTGCAGGCTCTGAAATAAATGCTATTTACCTAATTCGTTAAAACACATGGAGTTGCAATTCTGTCTTGGTAACCTCCAAATCTGCTCGTTGTGTGTGTGTGTGTTTGGTGACGACCCAATCAGATGAGTTCTGAACATTAAAGAGCAGCCGTTTGATTGCTTCCATCGGCTCCTTTCCCATTTATAACAACATGTTCTGTTCCTCTGCGGGGGCCAACTGTTTGTTCATTTCGCAGGATCCCAGAGCCGAGAGGACGTCAAGCTCATGATTTCGGTGTTGGAAGAGAGGGAATTGGGGGGGGGGGCACATACGTTCTCACCATGGCTGAAGTGAGATGTTCCACCCGGCAGATGCTGAGATGGGACATCTAATTAGGGGGGAATTGTAGGATAAACAGAGCGCCTTCCTTTTGACTTCTTTACCCAGAGTGTGATTAAAATGTGGAATCCGCTGCCAGAGGATGGAGTGATGGCCACGGGGATAAACAGCCTTGAAAGGGGGTTAGATAGATTCATGGAGAATAAGTCTACCAGGGACTACTAACCGTGGTGACTGAGAGGGACCTCCACATTCAGAGGCATTAACTTCAGAATTCCAGAGCCAGGAGGCGACGTCAGGGGAAGGTCCCGACCTCTCTGCCCTGTTCTTGGCCCTCCAGAGGAACTGGCTGGCCCCTGTGTGAGACAGGATGCTGGACTAGATGGACCACTGGTCTGATCCAGCAGGGCTCTTCTGATGTTCTTACCGGGGGAAGGCCTCGGCCTCTATGCCCTGTTGTTGGCCCTCCAGAGGAACTGGCTGGCCATTGTGTGAGAAAGGATGCTGGACTAGATGGACCACTGGTCTGATCCAGCAGGGCTCTTCTGATGTTCTTACCAGGGGAAGGCCTCGGCCTCTATGCCCTGTTGTTGGCCCTCCAGAGGAACTGGTTGACTACTGAGTGAGACAGGATGCTGGACGAGATGGACCTTCACTGGTCTGATCCAGCAGGTCTCTTCTGATATTCTTATGTCCCAAGTGGGGGCAGACAGTGACCTAGCTAGACTAAAGCTGTCAACTTTGTGTTGGAAAATACCTG